CACAGATAGTCCATGTTTTTGCTCCCCCCCCCCCCCCCCCCCCCCCCCCCCCAAAAACAACAAAACACCCGTGGGGGGTGGGGGGGGGGGGGGGGGGGGCTACAGGACAAATATATCAGCTGTCAAAAATCATTTGAATTCTGAAATCCATTGTTGTAACAGTTTGTTAGCAAATGTTCAATAATGCCACAGTGGGGGTTACAGTAGGTGTACTATCTACTGGTCTAACAAGTGGCTGAAGCCTACTGGTCATGTTAAAGTAAATTGTTCCATTTTGAAATTAGCAATTATTCTTCATAAAAATATTACAGAAATACTACCCTTTGGAGTGCAACCAGAAAATGTGCTTTCATAGTTCCAGGTCAGCAGACCAAACAGTAATTGTATTGTACGGTTTGCTGTCTGTGTACTAATCTCTGTTCCCTATAGAACTGTTCAGGAGAACTGATAAGATTAATCTAGCTATAATTTTATTCTTTCAGTTCAGAATAATAAAACTCTTATTTAAAATGCTGTGACCTCTTTCATCATGGCTGAAAGTGTTCTTGTCTCATTAATGGCAATTTGTTTGCCGTTATAATGTGTTCCTACGATAAGTTTTTCCGACAGCTTGATGGATCACACAAATTAAAACATCCGGAAACATTCATAGAAAAATCCCTGTGGATGACCATCAAGGTCTTTCCATGATCCCTTTCTCTCCTCGCTCACTCCCATGCCACAGCGCAGTTAAGATATCCACCAACGAGTAAGAGAAAGGTAGAGGGTGTTTTTCAACATGCGTACTTGACTGTACTTGTGTTCTCGTGTACCTCTTTTATGTCATCTTCCATCGCCAAAGACCAGTTCCAACTCTCAAGAACAGAAGTACAGAGGAAGGTAAAAAATCCCCAGATGTTGGTCTTGCTCCGTCCCAAATATGAAGGATACATCGGTTGCATCCTTGCCAAACAACACCAGTCTCATGATTCATTCTACCCCAAGTTCACTCTTGGGAGGCAAGTTAGCGAGACCAGTTTTGTCCAGGCCACAGGTACAATCTCCGTGTTTTGGTATTGAAAAACACCCACTGAGACAAAAAGATGGAGGCAGAGAAATGAAGAAAACAAAAATACCCACAATGCACTGGGAATTAAATTTGCCTGTATTTCTCTGATAGGTTAGTCAGTGGTATACGGTGTATTTACCAAGCAAGGGGAGCTGAGGAGCCACACGCCTCCCAGCAGCCGTGTCCTTTTATTGTTTAATAACAAAACAGGAAGTAGAGGTTACCCTGCTTACAGACATGGCACCTAGGGGGTCCTTCATGCAGGTATAATGTAAGAAAATATACAAACAGAAGCTACAACTTTCACATGCTAATTGCCAAGGTTGTACCTACATTAGACTTCTACTGTATGGCTGATACAGTATAATGGACTGATAAAACAGTGTTTTAATACAATTCCTTCAGTGAGACTGTTAGCTGCCCTTTCCAGTTAATTAGTATGTGAGAACGATCACACACACGGCAAAGAATTACCGGAACGAAATACAGCACACATAAAGCACACTGGACAATGCTGTACGCCGGTGTCGTATGGTCTGATCTGTGATTACGTTCCTGCTCCTATAACCCTCGCGTCCTTCCCTATGTGCCGAGATCGATAGTATAAAACAAGGCGTTCGAAGTCGTATTGCTTTCCGCATTTACAAAACCACTGAGCGCCGGCTAAGGGCAAAGCGGATGGATCCTCTCTGACACGCTCATTGCCTTCGCTTCCGTTTCCAGAGGCCACTCTGTCAGGAGGTCCAGTGTGTGGAAACGTTTTTCTGCCTTGAATAATCACTTGTAGTACTCTCTGTCTTCTGCTGCTAAAACACCCGTCGGTGCTGCACACGACACAGCGCGAGCAGTAGTTACTATTGCAGACGGAATTGCTAAACAGTTCTTCATATTAGATATCAATAAATTATACAAGAATCAAAATTGCACGTCATTTAAAATGACTTTGATAATCATCTGATATATAGAAAAAAAGGAGATTATAGAAAACTGTAAAGGAAAATAAAAGCATGTTAATTTCTAAGTATAATTTATAATTAAGAAGCAAACATTTCTGAACTTTTGCCATAAAGAATAGGATATACTTTATAATCTTTGCATTTTCACATGGGATTGGGGTCACAGCTTGATGGATATTTTGCCCACGTTTAGACAAGCTAGAGGTCATTTCTTTCCTGCGTCCTGGAAAGCAGCTATTTTGTAAATACTTATATGTGTGTTTGTGCCTTTGGTTACACACTGGAACGGTCCAAAGCTTTGGAAGTCTTCTAAGAAAAAAAAACCTGAGCCTTCCAAAAACAAAACACGATAAAAGTGAAACAACGGACGCGGTCAGGATGCACAAGGATGAACATGCACTCACAGACATTCGACCAGTGTTAAGACACAAAGGTATGACTGCAGGACAGAGGCCGCACTCTGATGACTCTCCAGTGTTTGCCTAAACTGCACAGAAATCACAGAACTCCTGAAAATGTCTCAGGTCTTCAGCTCTTCTCCACGCACCGGTGACAAATAAATCAAAGTGACCAGCAGCGGCGATGTTTACCACCTCTCGAACCACACATTTGCCTTGGGGGCCCCCTGTTGGCCACAAACAGTCACTACACTAGGGGGTCCCCAAAGTGACTTGGACCCCAGAAACAACAAACCCGACCTTGGTGCCCCGGGTTACTCAGAGCATGTGCAGTGAGTGACAGGCAGAAAATCCAGTGTCACCGACTACTGTGACCGCTGCGGATCTATGTCATACAGTGCAGACTTCACACGTCACATGATGCAGTACTAAATCAAATAGCCAGAGTTTTCACCATCTTTTACACTCTACACTGTGTTTTTTCACTTGCATGGTTTCTGCTGTGAATACTTTACATAAATACTATTATAAAATATATATAATATTGTTTTAAAGGCCCATAAACTTCCAAGACAGTTCTCTAATATCAGTGTTGCGTTATTGTATCTGAACCACTCCTAGATTTGTTCACTAAATGCCCACCAGGGTCCCCAGTGTTCTAACCAGCTGCCAGTGCATTTTCCCCCCTGGACAGAAACCAGAGGTGATTCCGCGCAACCTCTTCTGTCGTTCTGATTGGCCGCTGGCAGGACACACCCGCTCCATCTTACCCACTCTGCGGCTTACTCAGTGACCTAACACCTTACACCTGCCCACTTCCTCCCCGCATACAAACCACTCGCCTGGCCTAGTGGGAGGGTTCCCTGGTGGGTCATGCGACGTCAGCCATGTAAACGATGAGCACAAACTGTGGAGGTCACTAAGGCCTCCAGTTTTGATTAGATAAAAGCAGCAACTAAATGAAATACATTAATACACTAAACGTATGCTGGAAACAAAGCCTGACCCAGCGCAGCACAGAACAGGAGGTGATTTAGTAAATCAGTGTTTCTGCTCAGGATATATATGTTTCTCATAATAAAAATGGCACGTAGGATTTCTTTACATCTTGGGAGACTGACGAAAAACGTCACCATTAAAATACAGGCTTCCGAACACCCCACCCACCCTCCCCCCCTCAAAAAAGGAGTGAACGATGAGGGAACTCCCTAAAACCAAAGGACGAGTGCAACAAGGAAAGGGTCCCGCGTCTCCGGTCACATCCAGGTGTAGAACTCTGGGTTTTCCCCTCGCCACCAGCAGCCTTTTGAAAGTTACACTTGAAAGTAATTTTTCAGTAGCAAAGGTCTTGCTCTGTCTCCACACTGTAGGTAGTGCTGCTTTGAAGAACACGCAAGCCTCGGCAGGCTACTCGACGGCGCCCCCTGCTGGCGCCCCAGAGGGCCCGCCGCCTTTCCGCGCCAGCTTCTGCATCTGCTCCGTCTCCTTCCTGCGTAACTTCTCCCTGTGCTTCTCCAGCTTCTCCCGGTTCTTCCGAGCCTTCTCCATGATCGCTTTGAGGTCCCTCACCTTCCTTTTGATCAGAGCACGGTCTTGAGAAGACACCACGCCCAGGTCCTGGAAAGCAAAGACACCGTGCTGAGATCCCGTGTGTTTGTGGATGACCTGCAGCTCTGCTGAAATATGGACATAATGGAATAGTAATAGGCTCCTAAAGAGCCTTGCTTCCATATTTTATCAGAACATTCAAAACAGACACAGAAATCATGGTTTTAAATTAGTCAATCAGCGTGTGAAGGACTTATTGTACCTTAAGGCCGCTGCTGTCCATCTGTAGAAGGTGCTCTCCATCTATGTTCTTGGCAGTGAATTTTGGGACATACTGCTCCAGGCTGAGGCCCATCAGCCAATGGGACACCTGCTGGCAGTTCCACTCCAGGACACTGCGATTCTGCCAGTGGTGGTCTTTGGGGGACTGGTCTTCCTCCAAATTCTTCTGAACCACCTCCTCAACCACAACACAACAGGCAGTTTGCTCGCTAACGCTTATAAACCATGTTACAGTGATCCGCTGCCTATCGTGGACGTTCCAGACCCATCCGCTATATAGAAAGACCATGTAAATATTTTTTTATAGTTTATCGTAGGGCTTAAAACAAAACGAAAAGTTCACAAAAAGTTTGCTCACAACAATCGGACCACAAGCAAGGTACACGATGCTCAGGGAACTGTGATGCGTCAGTGAAAAATCCGCGATATAGCGGGGGCGCGATAGCTGAACCGCGATATAGTGGGGGCGCGATAGCTGAACCGCGATATAGCGGGGGATCACTGTATTTTGTTAAACACCGAAATCCAACTCACTTAACTTAATGGCATGCAGACCCTATCAAAATGCAACAAGCGGAGAAGATTCCGGATAGAGACTCTTTGGCCTCATTTTGCTGAGTGCTAAGTGCATGCAAACCTCTATGAGACGGTGACACACGGATACAGATCATGCTCTTAACAACGTCTCACCTCGTCATCTATCATATCCAAGCTCTGACAAATGGGGTTCAGGAGATAATGGGAAATGCAAGTTTGTTAGAGAGAACAGACATTACAAGCAATAACTCTGGCGCCATCTACAGAAAGAGAACGAAACGAACGTTTATTCAGGAAGAGCAATAATATTACATCATTTGATTGGTCACCATTTCCACTCAATAATTTAAATCACAGTTAATGATTCTTTGATTTTCTTTGAAATAGAATTATTTTACATGGATAAAATTTACAATTATTATTTTTTTTAGCCAGACACGCTTGATGCTGTGTCCAGGAAAGGGCATCTCACCTCATCCGATGACGGCGGCGAGGTGTGCGAGCGTCCCAAACTTTTGAGTTCAGCCACTGGCCCGCTGAAGTCCACCGAGTCCATATTCCCGGGGTCCTCGCCCTGAGCCGAGCTCTGTGGGATCACAGACGTGTGGCTGACACATATGTACGCGTACGTACACCCGCCGTCTTCAAATCAGCCATCTCCTTCTGGAGCAGACTCAATCATGGGCAGAATTACATTTCTCTGCATCGTGCGAATCAATTCATCTATGTGACTGATTAGGTAACGTTCATCTCCGAACACAAATGAGGCCGACCAGGAGCGAGTACTGTCCTGCGAAAGAAAGGTCTCATAGCTGGTTGTGTTTCACTACAGGAGGCTCGGAGGCCGACCAGACCGGGCACAACACTTCCTGTTCTTGTTGCCATGGCAACAGCTAGGGTCCCGCAATGTGACAGTCATTGCAGTGCTGAGTCATTCCCGTGAGGGGGGGTGGGGTTGGCTGGCCGGGGCTGATGTAGAGCAGGATAGCCCTCCCTCACGGCTTCCTGAGTCCTCATATAGACCACCGCTCCGATCACATTTTCCAGAACCAGGCAGTGTGTGCCGTTTCGTTTGACACGGATGTCGGGGGCATCGCCAAGGACGCAGAGTCAGCCCGCCTGACCCCCTCCGAGGGACACGTCTGTTCAGCACAGGGCTGGGGCTTGAGGGGGGCCGATGGGCCACAGTAGCCCCCGTCTCCACGCCAGGTCACTTTGACTCGACTGGACTCCCGCACTGTGATGAAACGCTGCTGCCTCGAGGCTCAGCTTTTAAATGATGTTGGGTGTCTTTGCTTCTCCGCTCTGCCCCGCATGTCCGCTGTGCGGCTGCCAGACAGGCAGCGTCTCTGTCCCCACCGCTGCAAGACTATCTGTGTAAACTATGCCTCTGCTTATTTGTCCTTTTACATTTATACAATTATCCAAACAGGAACGGGGGTAAATTCTATTTTTATTCAGCCCGGCTGTTTTGTGTTAAACAGCATTTCTTCCGGCTTTGTACTAGCAGAGACACATGATGAGGTATTTCGCCAAAGGCAACAGTGCTATGTACAGAACAAGCATAACATTCATCTATTTCCCTAACCCACTGTTTCCCAATCCAGTCCTCGGGGGCCCACAGATAGTCCATGTTTTTGCCCCCCCCCCCCCCCAGCTCCCTACCAGGAGCAAAAATGCAGA